AATCATAATTAAAGATACGAAATGCCAGTATAAGGTCACATCATGTCCTACGATACGACAAGGGGAAAATATTTAGGCGTTTTAAACGCTCATCGCAAGGGAGTTCAGAAAGATCCTCCATTAATTTCTTTCCTACACGCTGGACGAGCTCAAGAGAGTTAGTATCCTTTACCAGACACGGGCTAGCTGCTTGGATACAGTACTCTAAATTTGGTCTAACATATTTGGGATATAAAATTCAAAACGTTTCCTCGTCAAAAGATTTGAACGCTCGGCAAAGTGAGCACAACGCACGAAAACCTTTGACAGCGGCTGCTTTGCAATGCGTAGTTGTTTTTAAATCATGGCTTAATACTACTCCTAAGTCTTTATGCTCTTGAACGCATGGAAGAAGTTTACCCTCCATAGTGTAACGGTAACTATTACCGTGAGCGATGTGCATTAGTACACTCTTCCTAGCATTGATTTCTAAGCCCCACTCTCGAGCCGATCTAACTAAATCGTCTAAGTCAGCTTGAAGATCAAGATGATCAGCCGCACTTTTTATTGTTCTCCAGATTTTTACATCATCCGCAAACAATAATGTCGATGACCTAAGTAACAACGGCAACTCATTAACGTTGAGAAGAGAGAGCAGAGGGCCTAAGATGGTGCCTTGGGATACACCGCTTTTGACCGGCTTCCAATCGGATGGCGTTCCGTTGACCCTCACTCTCTGTTTGCGGTCACATAAGAAATTTCCTATCCACTCATGTACAGTACCTATTATTCCGAAGCTCGTGAGCTTCTGCATAAGACCTACGTGTGAAACCTTGTCAAACGCTTTGCTAAAATCTATGAATATCATATCGACAGATAGACTGCTATCTATTGCTGCTGTCCAATTCTCCCTCGCAATAAGCAAGTTAGTCAAACATGAACGCTTGTTACGAAATCCGTGTTGCTCAGGAGCTAACAGATTATGTAAATCTATGTGGCTTAGCAACCTAACCTGAATTATCTTTTCAAGTAATTTAACGATTATACTAGTTAGACTGACAGGCAGGTAGTTAGATACTATCTTTCGCTGGCCGTCCTTGAATATAGGACTGACTATAGCGTCCTTCCAATCTCTAGGGAGTTGAGCGAGTGAAAGGGACATGTTGAAGAGTGTCGCGAGCGGTTTTGAAATAATGTCCGCAAGAGATGACAGCAACCGTGAATATAACCTGTCTGGGCCCGGTATCTCTCCAGGTTTGAAGTTAGTTATCAACGGAAGGACAGTTTCCCCAGTCACCTGTACAGATTCCATGGTTGGTATCTCGGTGTGAGTGGGACAAGTATTTGTTACAATGAACGTAGAGAAGAATTCTCTAAAATAGTTTGAAAAAATCTCAGCTCTTGCTCGATCTGATTCAGCTAGTAATTCTGAATTTTCGTGTAACAGTAACGGAGGAATACCATTTCTGCGTTTCATTTGCCGTTTAACATACGAAAACAATCGTTTCGGACAAGTACGGCTATCATATACTAACTGTCGTTCGTAAGTGGTACGGGATTCGGCTATGGTTTTTTTTACAGATATTACGGAATTTTCGGTACTCATGCTTAAATGGTGCATGACCTGTCAACAAGAATAAGTCCCAGAAATGTTTCCTACGCTTTAACAGCTTCCAGGTTCCCTTATTAATCCATGGAGGGCAGTGTGATAGCTTACGTGCTGACCATGGGATAAACTGCGACGTTACGAAAACGAATGTAGCCTTGAACTTATTCTATTCATCTTCGATCAATCCATCCGCGTCGACCGACCGATCAGTCGAAATAGCACAGTTTTTGATTTCCAAGCTTCTGTAACAACGATTATATTGGGACATAATTCTATCACCATCAGACTTAGCTCGGACGTTTTATTTATAAGACTACGAGCGTTCATGTAGCACACACATAAGGTGTTTTGGCAATCAATCGTACTACCCATACAGGCCTCGGAAGCATTGGCTTCCAAGACCTGACTACCCGAAAACCCTTAATGGTAAAGTTATTTTCGCCATTTAATTTGCGAGTCTTCAACTCCATAAGAGCATTCTTCCACTTGATTCGATCCTCAAGTGGCCAATCTGGTCGAATACGGATATTTGAGTCACGAGTTTTTAGTGCGCTTTTCAATAATATGTCTCTTTCATCAATACTTCCGAGAACCAGCTTCAGGATTCTTCTTGGTTGGGTCTCGCCTCCAACCCATTTACCAAGTCGTATTACTTTTGTAATATGTACTCCTGAAACCTCTTCAGGTAGTACATTCCTTACCACAGACTCCACTAACTGCAGGTCATGTGCAGAATAGATGGCCCTTGTTAATTCACGCAATGGTGATCTGTCGGTTTTTCCAACTTTTGTTTAAAAACGTCGACAGATGGGGCTTCAATCACGTATTCAAGTGGTCAATTCGATTCGTCGATGACTCGATAGAAAAATTGATTGTCAGCTGATAAGTAATTTGTTCTAGATTTTCGAACTTTTCCAGGGTCCTCGTAAATCCTTTCCTTTGGAGGACAAGAAAAGTGGGGAAGTATTTATCACTTAGGTTTCGTTTAGTTAGTCAAGCACCACATGATAGGTTCGCTATTCCGAGAATCAGCTTAGTAGCGGTTATCTGGACCTTTTCTAGCAGCTCACTGTCCATTCTTAGGCAAGAGCTAGCCGCTTGTATGTAGTACTTGGGATTGGGACGATCGAACACTGAATACACGTCGGGGAGATTCTAGCTCCAACATGACTCAAGGCCATACGTATTGACCACAAATTTCTAAAAGCTCTGGAGTCTTTCGAATGGCAATGTTCAGTAGTTTTTAAGTTTTGGCTAATGATGACTCCTAAGTCGTTATGTGTCTGGGTAACAAATAGCTTACTGTTATTCACCGTGTATGTGTCTGTGCCTTGGTGACCGATACGCATCATAATGCACTTGGAAGCAATTATCGACAACTAACAAATTTCAAACCATTCATTTTGAAACTGTCCATATCTTGACATCGTCAGCTTATAACAAAACCGATGATGACAGAAGACTAGGATTGTGATGTATGTCACAAAGTTGTATTCAAGCTTTAACGTCTTCGGTGAAAAGTAATAACTCTGTTGATACATTCTATGTTAGATCATTTATTTAATTTGCAGAGTAGGAACCGTAATAGTGAACCATAGATACCCAACTAGGATATCCTTTAAACTGAGAAATAGCGATGCATGCCTTGACCTGCAAACGTCGATTATTTAAATATGCTTCAAACAACGATGTCTCCATACCTTTCAGCTTGAACTGACTGATAAGACACTTATGATTTACTCCATAAAAAGCTCTTCAGAGGCCGGGGCACATCACATCTACCTTTCTCTTACAATCAATGGTCGTTAACCATCTATCTACTGCAGTTAGTGCATGGATGAAGTAGAAATAGTCCTTCCTAAAACCGCGTTGTTGGGCTGAAATCTTCTCCACCATCTCGAATTTTATCGATTTCAAGTAGGCTCGTTAACCGTCACGTCATAGCTTGGTAACTGTAAGAACATCACTTCAAGGGGTTTTCCCCAAATTGCTGCCGCTTCTCACAGTATAGAAGACCAGGAGAAGTAACCTTGTTGTCTATATGTTGCAGACTGGTATACCAATCCAGTGCTTAGGTGTACTTCTGAAATTCCTGATAAGTTTCAGGTGGAGTTCTTCTCGATGTGAATTGTATGCGGAGGTTGAAATATTTAAAAATACCGTTTTGCCAGAAGTTCTATGTCATCAGTGTCGTAATTGTTTAGATCATCCATTAGGACTTAACAACTGAGAAACTCGGTCTATAGTGTATCGAAGGGATACTTCATGAAGGAATAGGCTTTTTGGATTAGATGCAACCATGTGATATTCGACTCCGACTTTAGATTGACTAATCGCTTTTCAATTTTGACGGATTGGCGGATTGGTCTGAGAGTCCACCAAGGACTTATCAAGTAAACAGTCATTAGTTTTAGCTGTTATTTAATTTTTCTTCTCAGTCACGCCAGGATGGGTTTCACTCTTACTATCAGATTTTGGTAGTGTATTATGTGACTCACAATGAGAGTCCATCAGTGAGTTACTAACTACCTGTTTACTGCCTACAGCTTTTTTCCTTTCGTTTCGTTTCCTACGTACCGTAGTCTTTTTTCATCCCTCCCGACATTGGAACTATTTGGAATGGTAATGATTTTATCCAGTTCGTCGGTTCCCAATAAAGGTGCAATGTTATCAATGTCAGTACCAGGTGGTATTACTCCCCTTGTTAATGTTAACGGCGATTTCACTTTTGCGTCGGTCAGAGTCGGTTGTTTGAGGCGTCGCGTAACAGCAGGTACTACACTGACACATTCGTCACTGTCAGTGCGGGTGTTGTCAGCGCATGTGTCATCGTTTTTCATGCAGGCCAAAGCCAATATGCCCATAGCCTCCTGAATTAGTACTTTTTTAAACTGTACAGAACATACAAAGCTAATGCGAGTTAGGCTTCGAGCATCTTTTGTATGCCATCGGCGTGTACACATTTTGTGGTACCACCTTTTACAGTCATCACACTGCATTCCCTCCTCAACGGGGAACAAACAATTTGGTTGCCCACATTTGTGAGTCTTACCAACCATTGTAATTAAATTTCAAAGGTTTAAAAACACACAATGATCACAATGTGAACACAAGTGTTAGTCTAGGAGTAAAAAAAGGTACCTAGGACAAAATTTAGCAAAAAATTTCAAACTTTAACCAAATTATTCTCAGTTAAAGTAGACTAAGAATGCTTTTTGGTGCAATAAGTACCCAAAGCAAGTATAATCACAACGAGTACAAAATCCACGGCCCTTTATGAAACGAGCGCGTTGAAATGTATCAGTACGATGCCACCACTTTTGTTACTTGAAGGATGGAGGTTATCAGACATAATGTGGCTGAACTCAAATTTAAATTGTTTTAGTTTGACCGCCTCTGTATGGCCTTCCGAGTTTACGAGGTGGCGCATCAATCGTTTTCGACAGTTTGACCTTCAAGTACTCAGTAACGTTCATCGATGGACGATGTGGTTATGATTGTCCCTTCATATAACTTCGTCAAATCAATCCACAAGTCGCTATCGGAAACAAATAACATCTCTTATCTTAAACTTCTTACAGGTTTATTGACTTACTATACTTATTTTTAAGATTCTCTACTGGTTCTTGATGTGGGTCAAGAGTTTTCGTTAACGTTTGAGGATATTCATGGTTTGAAAATCATCTTTTTGGATACATTTGTTGAATGGACCTGCCAATTTGCATCTTCAATTCCTCCTTCACTCAGTGACAACACTGGAGGGATCCGCATGGCTGGAATAGTCAATAACATAGTAATGGAGACGCTTGCCCTTATTAATGACATTACAAATGAATTAAAATTGGGATATTCCAAAGTACCTAAACCACTGATGGATTTCTCAAATCACCTGAAGTTTTTGATGGTACGTCTCTACATTGCTTCCCAAGTTATCTAGTTGCCACTATCCTTGATCTAAAGGTTGTATATTAAGGGTAGAACTATATTACATCGGTAGCCTTGCTTGACCATTCGAAATGAAGCGGGTCGATGCGCAAATTGTAGAGATTGTCATGCAAAGCTTTTTGCTGAAACTCGCGGTTTTCATCATATTTCGTATTTCGATAAGATTAGGTGGTGATTTGCTTGTGGAAGGAACTTTTACACTCAGTATTTTAGGTTTCAGGTTGTTAAGACTCGAAGTATTGAAGTTAAGAGTTAGAGTTTATGTCAAGATTACTGATGACCTACCGCGAATTTGTCAATGGCCTTCATTCTGGCCGATCAAAAATAATCAATCAATGCTGTTTTCATATAAGAACTCCGAAATAGTCAGTAGACCAGGAATAACGTTCCACGTACTCGAATCGTTTGCCTTAGCGGTGCGATGTGATGAAGAGACGTGAGGAGGGTTAGTCATGGAGATAAGAGAGGTATTGGGAGGTGTAGGAAGGATTTGAATGTGACCAACTTGGTCTCGTGTGCTGTTACGGGTATGAGGGCTGATGTCACTTCCCGGCTGCCCACACCGTGGAAGGGTATTTCTTGAGGAACCTGAAAAGGAAATTGGATTAGTGTTGGTCTTGACGACCTGGGAGCGTGACCGCAGAGCCCAAGGGACAACTGCTTGAGGCTGGTCGCGCACGGCCTTTTTGTGGTAGGTTTTTGACGTGTTAGCTCCGTTCTTCATAGGGCCTTACGGCCGGAGACGGAAATCCGTGAGGTAAGGTGAGGTGTGACATTTTTAGGGTCGACCTTTTCTAACCCCACCCCTCCTTGTGGGAAGGCAGCATCGCTGTCATGCTGATTGTCCGAAGGAAACACCTTACTGCTGTCACACCTCTGTACAGTCAGCAGTACGACTTCGCCTTCAGACTTTGAGTTGCTGCTTCTAGTCTTACCGTTCACCAATCGACCTGCCTGGCATGGTAAAACCTACAGGAACATATGTTCCAGCCAATATAGCTCGGTTGGGTCATCACGATGGGCAAGCCCGACCACCGCGTCAAGGTAGCAGCTTCGGTCGAACTCCGAAATCTGTCAAAACGAATAAATCGTAAGGGGTTGGGTGGACTTAATAGTGTCAAATATCGATTGTTCAGGTTAGATATAGTTTTGTAATAAAGACGAACCGGCTCTACATCTATTAAATTCAAAAAACATCGGAACTGATGTTACCGGTAAGACTATACTTAGGCGGTTAATCAGGATTAAGCTAACCGTTGCGCGAATTTGGATTTCTTGCAACTAAACTCTTGGTTTTCATTATATTTCATATCTCGAGAAGACTGGGTGGTGGTTTCCTCGTGGGATAAATTGTTAAGGTCACTATGTTTGGGCTATCAGTGTCAAGATGAGGATTACTAGGATTAAGCGTTAGGTTTAGAAGTTGGGTTTTGTTAGTTGCAAAGCTAAAAATTAAGGTGCTCTAATCACAGGACTATGATGTCCAATCTGTATGATCGTTATTTAGCACCAGTAAATCCATTATTGATTTTAAAACATCTTGTCCTCCTCATTTTTATCGCTTCACTATATTTTGAGCGTTTACAAATAATCTGCCTCCCGATTGACTGGTCTCAAGGTCATCCTTTGTATTCGGTGGTCTTTGCTATAGTACAGTCTTACTGTGTTCGGTTGGGAGTTAGAGCCAGGAAGTTTTAGTGTTGATTTGGCTTTTAAAAGACTTAAGGCTAAGGGTTAGTACTTTTTCTGATCACATAGCTATGGCCTACAACCTATTGCTATTTAGCACTAATGAATTCACTTATATCTTTGTGTATCCTAATCCTTTGTAATTTTACCACTTTTCTATAGTTTAGGGCTCTTACGCGTAAGTAGCACTCTTATAGCTTAAACCCAAGGTCACCCTTGAATTCACTTAAGATCATTGGTATAGTATAGTTTCACCGGCCTAATTTTAAGGATAGTTACTGACGGTATTATAATCTAAGTGAAACTATAATTATCCTGTTAAAACGTCACATTCCTACTGCACTAACATCACTACCTGTGTTGTTCAAACTGAAACCCTCACTTTATACTACTCGTTGTATTCGGACATACCTTACTCTTCACTTCTCGATTGATTCACCCCAGTTTGGACTAACAACTATTGCTTAATAGTTGTTAAAAGTCAATGGCATGGTAATTCACATCTCAATATTACGCAGTGTTTTGAACTATTAAGCCGAAGATTGACTTTTGTGAGGAATTTCAGTGGGTATAGATTTCTGTTTTTTATTTGCAGGACAGTGACTCGAAAAATAAAAACACAATAATCTTGACATTACTAGGTATCATGTCTCGAAATGATGTGCCGCAAAATGCATTATATGTGATTGGTTGTTCAGGTTATCGTTCGTGTCGTTAATTTGGTATTTCTGTAACTAGCTTCATATACTTCTATTGTTTATTTTAACCTTGTGCATTGAGAATGCAAAGCTTTTATGTAAAATAGGTGAATATAATACATATCTATTCATTGCTTCGGATTACTGCAACTGTTACGCTGTACAGTATCACTAACACAAAACTTGTTTCCTCGCCTGAAAACCAAGCCACATTAGTCTTCGTTTAATTTCGAGAGTCGTAGGTGCATGCGTTTTTTGGACTGATGCTTCACACATTAAACTCGTTAGCCTTAACGTAAATATTTTCATAACACCACTCTTGTGTTCATAACGCGAAGTGCTTCATGTATCCTTCTACAATTACTAGTTATCCGTTCAATGTCCTCACAACCCGATTCCTAGCTGCCTTTGCAATAGATTCCTGTGTTTTTCATATAAGCAGAAATGAGGTAGCACCTGACAGTATTTAATGAATGACTTTTAACTGATATTTCTTCTAAATGCGTAATTTTTATTCGCTCCCGTATGGTATCTAACTGCGTAAGGATTGGTAGTTATTTGTAACCAGTAAGTTTGCCATAACTATTTCAGCTATGTATTATCACTTTTAAAAAAAACCGATGGCTCGAACTGTGCAACGTTATGAAAGTTTAATAATTTGACAAAATATTATTACTGCAACCTATTATGACCACAGATCATTGTCTACTTGACCCTGTGTAACTGGACAAGAGCTGAAACCGCCCGGAGTGAGGAAGAAGGTAAGACTGCAGATGAAGATTTACATATTCACCAACCACAGATTCATAACCGTTTTAAAAACTACCAAAACTACACTGAATAGTGTGTAACCTAGTGACCCGATTAATAAGCTAAATTAAATATGTTGAACTAGACAGTTAATATAAATTTTTTAACTAAATGTATGTATACGATCTACATTAACAATATATTTAACTGCATTACCTAACAAAACAATAAATTACTGAGTTCCATATTTTCTCCTTCACAAAAAAAGTACATATGTGCCATACAAGTCGCTTGATTTGTGTGTGGGCTGTGATATCACTCGGGTGCTCAGACCGAAGCAGGTGGTCTTCTTAGGGTTCCACACCCGTATATTCTATGCATTTGATAAATAACCTACATCTTTTCCCTACTGTTACTAGAAATTCCGACCTGGGTAAATAAGTTTTGAGTTCTGATGTGCCTAGATATTCTCGAATGAGTAATAATAGTAATCATGTATTGCATAGGTTTATTCAGAATGACGCCACAAACATAATGTGACAAGTGGAGTTCTTACCTTTATTTTTAAGTACATTTTTGTGTGCAGACATTAATTTTATTATGTAGCAGACTAAAGAAAATATGAATTCTTCAGTATAGGAGTGGTTATTCGACCATAGAGCATGTCCTTAAATAATAAGCTTTTAGCTGTTATGTCATGGATTCCAAAGCTCACTCAACTTCAGGAGCTAATGAGAAATTGAATAATATTGGAAACTATCTCGAAGTGGGTACTCTGATAACTTGATCTATAGATATACATGGAACTCCTAAGTTGTATATTTGATACTATTTAGATATTCTAACGTGACTGTCAGCATTCAGTGGGACTCCAGATGAATTTTCTGCAGTTCCTTCATGTGATCCATGTTGGCAGTCATCTTCGTGGATCTATCTATTCCTAACCTCTTTCTATAGCGAAGTCAAACTTCATCCCTCTGGTACAGAGCTATAAAATCTCACAATTGTGACTATGAAGTATTCACTACAAAATAAAACTGTCTTTAGTTGCAAGTGAATGACTACCACATTCATGAAGCAACTCACCAGATACTTTTGCAACGTACTTTGTGTACGGGTCATTTAAGTATTCAGATAGTATGTACAGAAAATCTTAAACTTGTGATAGTCGAGTGCTTAAATCAGGAAATTATAAGTCTACAATAAATAAGAGAAAACAATTTCACCTATAGCTCTTTGATACTTTCCGGTACATATTTGTTATCTGGTCATCATTAGTTGAAGGATATCAATATTAAAATGTAGTCTGCTGAAAAACCATGTAAATAAAAACATTCCTGTATGGATTCAGTCTCAGAGTTGTCATCCAGCAAATAGAATGGTTGACCATAGATCTTAACGCTGCAGTGGGACACATTTTATCGGTGTTAAAGACGCTAAGTGTAGAACTAAGATTTAAAATTCTGTTTGCTTTCCAGGACCCGGTTCTATAAATATTTGTTGCTAAGCTAACGATTGTTAACAAGTTGTAGTGCTCAAACATACATCAGTGTTTATTACATCTTTTTTTATATTACAGAAAACTTCATCTAGGCGTGCTTTTGGCTGGATTGATTATTGTTGTAAATTAAGAAGTTACTGTAGCAGAATGTTACATTGTATCAAGTTCACAAATACATCTTTGGCAAGTTATACTTTTTATTGTATAAATTTACATCTAGTCTTCTGAAGAGGATTTAGAGGAAGTTTTTGAACCGTATTCGAAAATCCCAAGCACCACGTAAATTACCTTTTTTTCTTATAGAGGATAGTGAAAGCTTGAGTATTTCAGCATTAAAAACATTAACTAAACGTGAAGTAATGAAAGACACTGTTAATATTGAGGACTCATTAATCTCATTGAATATTCATATGGATTCAAACTTGTTCAGTAACATTTACAGACTGGCATATGATAAAAGCGGTATTATACAGATCATTCAACAGGTGCAAACAGATTACCAGGTTAGGTTTACAAAGAATATCTATTTTTTAGTGAGAATTTCATAATCCTTTTTACTTAGTAATGACTAATATGAACATAGGAAGTCTATTCTGAGCTAAACTTTAAAATGACTCACAGCATACATGCTTATTAGTTGTTTTCTTTCATCAGTATACACTCTTAACCTATTTCACGGTTGTATCCATCTAATTACTTGTTGGGTTCTTTGGTTTTTCACTTTACCAAACTAACTCCCGACTATCTTTGCCATTTATTTGTGGTTATGGGATTTAGAGTGGAGCGATAGATTAACGGCTAAAGTATTTGGCTTTCATTCAGTAGAATACTAGTAATGAGCAGAGAGATTCCTAGAATTTCTATCCTTCGAAGTTCAACTTTGAAGAGTCAGCTTGTTAATTATTTAAAAAATAAAAAAGATTATAAAAAAACATCAGAAATTACTGGTTCCGAGCTGTTAGTTGATACACATATATCACCTATAATTTGGTGTTAATTTGCGTTATTGTCCAACTATTAATATATGTTTGACAAACTTATTCTAGCTCGTCAGTTTTTATATTTGGTAGGAAATGTGCATTTTCATACCATCTATACGCCTCTATTTCGGATTGTTTCTAATTTAGCCAAGCAGCTACTTCATCCTCTAAAGGTATTAAGGACATATTTACTCACTAGTATTCGTAATTGAGCACGGTCAGCTAAAACACTGGGATAGTAACTATACTTCAGCAACTATGCTGGAACTGTTTTCATATCATTTTCCCAATAGTTATAATTTTTCTAAAGAAAAATATAACTACTTGTTTAAAATCGTTTTTAATTACTTATAGGATCTAAATAAAGCAGATAATAAAAACTTACCCAGTCTTGCCAACATTCAACAACATTTACTTAAATTGTCATCAGTTTTTATTACTTTGGATACTTTGAGGCGATTCAGTGACGAAATACCACCTGAACAACTCCAAACACCAGGTATATATACTGGGAAATCTCCATGTGTGTTTAAAACTTTTTGTTATAACAAAATTAGTACATTTTATTGTTAAGTGCCCCGGAGACCATGTACACATTCGTTAACCGACCGACCCGATATTAAAACGTTCTTGCGAAATATATATCTATAATCATAGTAATACTTTTTTCTAGACGATTAATCCATTACCATAAAAAGTATTTTTTTTAAATCAATTTCCAGTAAAATAGATTACTAATCTTTTTTAGATTCTCTGCACACCACGACTCTCCTGACTCATTGCTAACAGTCGTAACTACCTAAAACATATAATAGTGTATTTATCACTGATAGTTGACGAATGTTTTATATTTAGTGAAAGAACTACAAATTTAGGTAGTAGATATTTATCTGATATATAGATTTCCTTCACTCAGCTTTACTTACTAACCTTGACTAGTTGAGTTTGGAATATATATTTAAGTCATTTTGTGACAATCTTATACGGATTTTTTTCTTACTTTATTATCTGTTATAAGTTAAATAGCTGTGTCCGGTGTTATCTAACGTTCAATAATTCTCCGTTCGTTGCTGATTCTTGGTGAAAATCATTCCATTATTTTATATTTAACTAAAGGTGATTCGAAATTCCCCACTTTCCCGGTGTAATATTTATCAATGTTTATTTGAAAATCATACAGACTTGGAAACACGATGTATTCATAAATAATTGTCTGAGGGGCCGTCGCAGACATATATAGCTTTAGGGCTTTTTGACAATTGAATTTGAATACTAATAACTACTGATACTGTTAATATTTCTGCTACTCTGGAATTTATCTTGATAATTTCATCTTACTGTGCTAATGTGGTATGGTAACTTGAACCGATATGAAAATCTGCCGGGTTCTGTGTTACACGTGAATGGTTTAAAAGTATTGTGAATGTGTTCTCTGCTTGTTGTATACATGTGGAAATAACATTGACCCCAATTTAGGAGTTTTGTAAAATAAAAGCTTAGTAATCTTTACCATTACCAACATTCATTTAATTTGTGGGCTCTAACTTCAACCGGCTCATTGTAACAATGATTGGCTTGTTGTTAATAAAACTTTGTGCAGTCGATATCGAGATGAGAAAAATATCCATCACCTTTGGTTCTCTGCACCAATTGTTTAAAAGAACTACATCCAAGTTTTTTGAAGCAAACGTCATTGGTTTAAGTAATTACCACAAACGCCAAAAACTACAACACTGTCATGATATAAATAATAACAATATCTAACGGTAAGCTACGAACTTATCATTCCTCAGCATTTGAGAAGATCGCGTAATATGAGATACTGAAGGGGTTAAACCTGTTGATAAACAGCTTATCCTGTATGTTTTACGCGCTAAACATGTTAACTTCGTCGTTTAAAAATTGAGAGCTAGGTTAAAATATTGATAAGTGCAGCTTCAAATTATGCATAATAATTAATTTTAATGACAGCATATCTTTATTTTGATATCATAACAAGTAAGAAAAATCAACGTCTGGATTGCACCAGCATCTTTTCGGGTGTCGAAATTCCTTTTCAATAAGCAAATGTGTAATTAACTTATCGTATCATTCGTTCAATACTACTGTTTTGGTTTTCACTATTCTAGTAATTTTAGCCGATAGTAAGGGATTGAAACAAACGCCTATAATTAATGGTAATGAAAACGCTGATATGAATTGTGAACGAAAAGGAAGAAAATTAGTTGATAAATATTGCTTTGAACGATTTTGTGGGCCATCACCCTCAACATCAATGTGTACACCTGTCCCTGAAGGTATATGTTTTCTTTTTAAAGTATCTATAAAAAATTTGTTTTATCACTCAGGAGTAATATATTTAACTACTCAGACGTTCAAAGGTTATCATCATTAAATCCAGATAGTTATACAACTGTTATATTAAGTAATAATGTCTATTTATAGACCATTGTTACAGATAAAGTAGCTAATTTCGACAGACTAATACTCGAAAGTCATGAAGTTGATTTCCTCAACTCATATAAATCAAACTCTTCTAAATTACTAAGCAAAAGTGCACACAAATGATCTGTGTTTACGGATTTTTAAAATATATCAGTTAAAATTGATGGTCTCATCAATGTAATTACATCTATAGCACTAATATTCGTTTTTAATATGCCAATATGACTTGACATTCAACCTGATTTTAACTGACCATAATTTATTTTGGTTGAATGGATTACTCAATTTGTTCGTATCTTTTTCCAGAAAAGAAGAAAGTTCGGAAGTATATTATCCGTCTTCCGAAAGAGGAATGGAAATCACACAAAACACCTTGGACAATTGAAGAATCTATAGCATTATGGCATGGAGTAATGTATGCTCCTGGTTCGAAAAGTTGGTCTCAAATCTGGCATCAATCCTTTCGACATAGTAATCGTAGTCAAGTAAATTTAAAAGACCGGTGGCGTGTAATAGATAATAGTGAAACTATTAAAAATGTAATTCGACAGGCGTATGTTAGTTGGACATCACAGTTTACAGATGGAAAAGGCAGTCCAGTCAGATATAATCATTTACCAATGCCAATTATTGTACGTACCTGTCAATCAACTTAACCTTTGTATTTTCTGAATCTTAATCGTTTAAATGTGCAATATATACAAATATTTTGTTAAATTCAAATTTTTCGTCATTAAAAATCCATATTTTTCGGTGAGGGAAAAAAAAACAAAATTGTTCTTACTAACGTTTCGCTACTTACTAGCATTAACTTTATCAAAGTAATAGTAAACCGGGATCTATAAAAATCTAAGCTTAGTTTGGTAACTCGTCAAGGTTGTTTTGCGCGAATAAATTTTTGCTGCCAAGTAAATGAATTGATACAGGCAACAGACAGGTGTAGATTTTTTCATTTGATAAGTGTACGAACTCTAAAAACAAAGTGTTAAAGTGATTTGCTTTTCATGTGCGTTGATAGTATTAGTCTGAGGGGGTAGGGTAGGCATCAACATACAGAACGAAATAACCAGGATTCTAAAATACAACAGTGAGCACCAACCAAACCACACTTGGTGGAGTCCCGGGAGATATAGGAACTCACGTACCTGGGTGGCATCATCTATAGGCATTGGGAATCTGCAGATGTGAAAGCACGGATTGGTGGAGGAATGGAAGCGTTCCTATAGTTAAAAGACATCTGGAATTCAGAACAACTATCAGAATTCTCAATAACAAATGTTACGACACCAAATTCACAGAAGTAGTTACTTCAGTGCTAGTAAC